AGATGTGTATAAGTGATGAGCTAAAAGCATCCGGTTTTCGAATTTGCAATTATCAAAATATACAAGGAGACTTATCTATAAATGAGTGGGATATTATCATAGTACAGGTTGAGAGTCTTTTCCGTATCGAGTTTACAGCCCGTCCATTTGTAGCTATTCTTGATGAAGCTAATGCCATTATGCGTCAAATGTCTAGTGGTACAAATGCACGAGAATCTGAGAATGCAATACGTGATGTACTAAGATCTGCGAGACATGTTTTGGCCATGGATGCTTTTGCAAATAAATCAACACTAATCTTCCTCCAAACTTATCGTGGTGAAAATATTTGCATAGTTGATAATAAGTATCAGCCTCGTATAGGTGAGACAGTTGAATTTATTTATGATCCGAATAGCGGAGCTGAAGCCATGCGAATAGGATATGATCTTTTGAGGCAGGGCAAACGTGTAGCATTCGTATCTACTGGAGCAGTGATGGCTAGAGCGATAGTAGAAAAAGCATCTAAGTTGTTTAAACCAGACAATTCTCCTGTTAAAGCCCGTGCATATTATGGGAATATGGATGGGAAGCAGAGACAAAAAGACTTCTCTAATATTGATGTTGCTTGGGGTGAGCTTGACTGTGTAGCTTACACAAATACAGTGGAGGCGGAAATATCATTTGAAGTTACGGGCCATTTTGATATAGTTATAGCTATTACAAACATCACCACTCCAGTTCATGTTGAGGCTCTTGCGCAAATGCTTTATCGAATTCGTGACTGTCCTCGTCGTATTGTTTCTGTGTTTTATCAAAAAAATTCTAATGAACTTTTTCGTCAACCAGGTCGTGAAAATATCCGAGCAGAACTTGAAAGTGCTCGACCTAATAATTTGCCTACATCAATAAAGGGTCACAGTGAATGGGATAGCAACGCCATTTATTATAAAATCGATGAATCTCCTGCTGTAATAACATTTGTCGAAGTTGAGCATCAGAAACGGCTTTCTGCGAGATATTTTATTGAGAAGCTTTGTAGTCTTATAGCCAGTACTGGTGCTTCTCTCCAACTAATAAAAATGGATGAGAGCCGAGGAGTTATAGGGAATCGTAAAAAAGTCCGCAATGAGGTTAGGGTTGAAGCACTAGTTATCAAGGAAACAGATTTTGATGCAGTTGCTACTTCCCGGAATCTCGATCCTGAAGAAGCTGAAAATCTTAAGTTTGACCAAGAACGCTCTATCCCAGATACTATGGCACTTAAACGTTTCTATATGCGAAATATTTATGGTAAAGATATAGACAATGAGATTTGGGATAATCTTTGCAATAAAAAGTTTGTAAAACATTTCAGTCCGCCAGAACATCAGAAACATTTCTTGAAGTTATATCACTTTAGAAAGCAAGGCTATGATGAGGAAAGTGCAATGAAAGGGTTAGAGGTCAAAGATATTGCGCAATGGGAAGATAGCCATTATAAAGCTGGTTATAATTCTGAGAAATCAATAGCAGAGGACTTGCACAAATCATATTCAGCTAATCATTGGAAAGTTATAAGGGAACTCTTTCAAATACTAGGCTTTACCGGCATAGATGATAAGCGTATTCTTTCCAGTAATATAATATCAGAAACATTCACACAATCCTGCGAGAGGTTTATAAAAGTCCTGGATCAATCCCTATTACTCTTCGGATTTAAGTCTCGTGCTAAGGTAACATCGGATCTTAATTCAGCTATAAGGGCAATTAATGCAATTGCTGGAAATTGGTGTGGCTATACTGTAAAGATAAATAGGAAAAAAATAGGGCCTAAAGAAAAACAGGTTTGGGAACGTTCATATCAAATTAATCGGCAACCATATGATGGTCTTGGTTTTGGAGATAAAGGTACGCCAGAGCTTCCACC